AGAGGAAAGGACCACAGTGCCCAGTCTCCATGGATCATCAAAGGGAAGGTTTTGGTGTGTCCATCAGCGGGTCTTCTCCAGATTCACCAGCTGGGTCCCTGTCCAGAACCACCACCAGCATTTTATGCGTGCTCCCCGCACTCCTTTGGAGCCGCAGCAGCTTAGCTCGTTGCCCCTGCTCCCCGTGTTTGTCATTAAGGCTGCGATCAGGCCCGGCAATCCTCGTCGCAGAGGGGCTGCTCCGTGCCCGGCGCGCAGGACGGTCCCTTCGCCCTGCAGGGTCCCTGCCCCGGGAGCGGCGGTGCGAGGTTGCGACCCGCAGCAGGCTCGGTAACGCCGACAGCAGGGTTACTCCGAGTTAGTAGAAATATCACGAGACGCGCTCTTCGCATTTCCAGTTTGGTGTTTTTGTACGATTATTAAAAGGATGTATTAATGCGAAGCTGGAGAGCTCCCAGCCAAGCAAACAGAGTGTAAAAGTAATGAGATTGCTTGCTAAAGCCCGCGGGATCGCCGTGTCGGTCTCGGCGGAGGCAGCGCCCGCCGATGCGCGAGTGACGCACGGGGTTGTTCGGGAGCCTCCCCTGCGCGCTCCCGAGTCGTGACGGACTGGATGGCTTCCCCAGAAACCTGAATTTCTGGAGTTGGTGGTGCTTGGCGTGGTGCGATTGCACTCTCTCCAGCGTCTTTAAGTCTGAAGTCTAAGTTATATAGCGTTTTGACATTTTTCTTCTAATATTGCTATGGATTTAGAGAGGAAGACCCCAAAAGAAAGCTGGGTGAGGGGCTGCCAGTCAAAGGCACGTGGCAGTTCATCAGAGCAGAGCTACCCTCTGCAGTATTTTGACGTGTAGCAGGTTATGTCTTAGCTCCTACTCGTGGTGCCATCTCTTAACCTCGGCCTCCGAGCTGCTGAAGGCTGGCTGAGAGTCTGGGCTTTGATGTCTTCATGCCCTGGTGACTGGAGGTGTTGCCTACCTCAAGGTCTAGGCAATTCCCACACGCCTGTGGCTGTGGGTTTCTTGGGTTTTTTTCAGTCCTCACCATTTTAACTCGCTTTCGTCGGTTTGTAAGACCTGTTCTTGTTTTATACCCCAGGACTTAGGGCTACAAAATGCAGCGCTCGGGTTTTGTGGTGCCTCCGGACTCTGCGGTGCCGGCGCGCTTGTGGATTCGGAATCGGTGCTGGGCTGTATGGCTGCACGGGCTGCACACCCCCGTC